TCATGTAGATGGTCACCTCGCCGGTCGGTTACCGCGACGATCGGTCATCTTGTCGATTGGCCATCTTGTCGGTCGACCACTTCGATGGTCGGTCACCTCGCTGGTCGGTCACCTTGTTGGTCAGTCACTTTCACTTTCATGGTTGGTGACCTTGCCGGTCGGCTGACCAGACAATCTTCTACCCTCGGCCACCTTGTCGGTTGGTCAGCTCGCTGATCAGCCACATCGACGGTGGTTCACCTTGTCGGTCGGCCACCTTCACGGTTGGTCGCCTTGTCAGTCGGTCACCTTGCTCGGACGATTTTCCACCATCGGCCATCCTAACTTGCCCGCCCAATTACTTGATTGGTCCCCTCTCATTGGACTAAAGCTGCACTCGAGAATGGAGGACTACTAATGGACATAGCCCAGGAGGGCCCAACCCATGGCCCAAGAAGGCCCAACCTACTTTTGTCCCAAGCTCCCCAGACAGTCACATGATTAAAACCCAACTGTGATAACCCAACCTGTATTTTGTTTAATTATACATGAGATGATGTGTTTGATATGAATTTGCAAGTTTAAGTATGTGAATTTTGTGATTTTGAAACTTGATTTGTTGAATGTAGAAATATCTATTACAAATACCACTTTAAGTGGAAATTAATAGCCTTAGATGTGTGATAAACCAAAACCGACTTCATATATGTGACTAGCATAATTTTTAGAGCCTACGGTGAAATTTTGAAAAATTACGATTCGTAATGATTAAATTAAAATTTATGAGTTAAGCCTTATTTGTGTTCTCTTGTGTTCTTTATTTTGGGGAGAGAGTTTGTTAGAGTGAGTTAGAGATTGAGGAAGAAGAAGAACTAGGGTTTTGGAAAAGAATCAAAAGGAAAACCTTATACTTGAGTTAAGGTATGATAATCTACTATATAATCTTTGTCTCTAGTTGATCTTTGGCATGAAATCAAGAATAAATTGGGAATTTTGAGCTGGGGTTTGAGTTGTGTAAGGGTTTGGAATAAAATCAAGAAATCTCTTCATTTTTATTTGATTTGAGTTCAATCTTGTGATTAATCCATGAAATAAACTCTTGATGGTTCATACAAACAAGATTTGTTGGAAGATCATTCATAAATATATTTATATATATTTTGAGCTACTATATGAAATTCATGATTGTATGGAAAAGATGAGACCATGAAGTTAATGTTGATGCAAGATTGATAAGTTTAATGCGGAATTACACTTGTATCATGCTTATGTATCATGTTTTTTGGTGAGTTTTGCTTTGATTTGAGCTTAGAAATGAGTTTGGAAGGTTTGCATTTTTTTTCCCATTTTCGGACTGTTTGATTTTGCCCAGACCACACGAGCAGAACATGATGAAAAATAGAGGTTTGCATTCTGCTGAAACCACCGCTCGAACGGGTCAAAGCGGGTGCATGTGCGGCCAACCCTGTTTCAGCTTATATTTAGTATCTTCAAAAAGACATATCTCTCTCATTCAGACTCCGTTTTAGATGATTCTTGAGCCTAAATTCAAGCCCCAGAAGTCTAGTTTGCAATGGAAGTGGTCTCACATCCAAATTATAAGTACACAAATAGATATGTTTAAATTAGTGAAGGTTATTCACTTTCTTTCTAACTGGTTTCATGCTATTTTCTCTCCTAACCCAGTTTTTTTCCGTTTCTTCCTATTTTCCTAGACACGGATTATGACCCATTGAGGACTAATGAGTTTAGAACCAACAAAAATAATTGGTTAAGGAGCAATGTAATAGATAGATTTATTTGGTTAAGAAAAGATTAAGAGAAGTAAATTTGATCAAGAGAGTAATTCTATGTTCCGATATGTTGTGCCATGCGCATTGAGTTTGCAGGTCATGATTCAAGGACCGATCAACCATTTCTAGAAACCACTGTGAGCAATAGTATAGTAAAGATATGTTTTTTCATTATCTATTTTGATTTATGTACGATATGATCTTCTAAATATCGTATTTTGTCAAAATGCATAAGTTTCCAAGAAATGTGAAATGAGTTATGAATAAAAAATGTGAATTGTTTGTAATATGATATGGTGGACCTAAGGCCGTTCCATCTATGCTATGACGTGATATAAATTGTTCAATCTTTAAGACCTATTGATTTTTGGTATGGAACAAAGTTTTGTACGGAACTAAGTGCTACAATGGGAGTCACCTCTAGAGTCCGTACGAGTCACCTTTTGGGTCCATACATACATAAATGTTGGGCCTGAGGCCGTTTTGATATATGATTGGGCCCGAGGCCGTTTTGATAAATGTTGGGCCCGATGCCATTTTGATATGTGCAAATTGGGCCCGAGGCCATTTTGATATATGATTGGGCCCAAGGTCGTTTTGATAAATGCTGGGCCCGAGGTCGTTTTGATAAATGATGAGGCCGTTTTGTTTACACGATTATAGATATTGTGAGAATCTTATGATTATTACGCTGTTTACTGTATCATTACTTATTGAGTTTCGCTCACCCAATATTAGGTATGCGCATGTAGGTAATCCACAGCATGGAGCACACCCCTGGAGTCAGCTTCAGGAGCTATTCTTTTTTAGACTCAATTGAGTTCGCCTCCGAGATGGAGTTTTGTCGTGACTCACACCACATCTTGATCTAATTTTATTTTTTGCTTTCATGGTCTTGGGTTGTAAACACTATGTTTAATTTTTCCTTTGGCTCCTATATTTTTGTTGGCTTGTTAAATGTATTAATGTGTTACATGGTTATCTCTATGATCTTGCTCATGATTGGCACAGATCAATGGACTCCTTCTCATTATATGCTTCCGTTATGGCCCTATTAACATAAATATTTTGTATGTTCGTTTGAGGCCTTCGGTAATCCAAGGATTACTGGCCGGTTAAGACCCAAACTTTTAGGGGCGGGTTCGCGTCATGACACCAACAACAATGAGGAGTCGGTGCTGGCCCAAGTCCAATAGCATTTAGACATCTGTTAGATAGGGAATCAACCATGTGGTAGACAAAGATCCTGCAGAGTTATTGAACCTACACATCAGGCATTAAATGAGGCTGTCATGGCATTAAATGCAACAAAACCTCTCATGCCAGAGCATACAAAACCACCATGACCGATGGCAACTAAACTATAGAATTTCGGCCAATGAGATAGCTCGAATGGACTAGGAAATGATGAGTGAGGGATATAAGGAAGATTCTGAAGTACGTTTGGTAATGACTAATTCTCTAATTCTTTCTCTCTTCTTTTCTAAGTTACTATTCAGACTGTGTTTCCATCTAACTTGATCATCGGAGGGTCTACGGAAAGGAAACCCCCCATTTCGGAACCTTCCCAGTGGGCTTGTTGCAGGTTCAGCTTGAAGGACGAAGGTCAACTGATTTGCGGAGCGCTTGGATCAGTCCGATCCATCTCTTGCCGACCAAACTGCATTATCAGTATGCATTTGTGCATCCAAACAATAATACATATAGTGTGAGAAAAAAATAGTTATCAAGTTATTTTAAATAATTATTGAGAAATTAAGGAGCAGAAGGGGATAACCCATCTAAAGTTATCTCAAGGAAATGACGAGCCTAAAAAAGATACTTCAAAAATACTATTATTTATTTTGGTACGTGAGGGCCTTGATATTTTGTGGGAGTTAATATTTGACACAAATTTTTTTTAAACCACAAATTGGAACAAAATATTATCATTATTTTTTTTTATGTGTGGTTGCATTAAAAAAGGGATATGTACCCTATTATAAAATGTCTAATTTTATCATAAAATTTTATAATATTAATTACAAAGTGCGTAATTTCACTACAAATTAGGATAACAAAAAATGTCTTAATCAAACTACAAATTTTGCAATATCAATTACAAAATTTTAGACATTTTGTTATATCAATTTGTGGTGAGATTACGCATTTTGTGATTGATGTTATAAAATTTTGTGATAAATTTACAGATTATGTCATAGAATGCATATAATATACAACCTAAATAAAATTTATCTTAAGGTCGTGTTTGTTTGGATGTACTGAATAAGGGGAGATTGTAATTTATAGGACTATTAATCTTGGGATATCTAGTCTCTAGACTATTTGGTTGAAAAGGATGTGTCTATCATATTTATTATCTTATGGAATTTGTAAAGAACTATTCTAATAAATCTAATATTTGATTAGAATATTATGAAGAATGATAAATATTCAATAGACTATTTTACTTTTTTCAATTGTTTACTAAAGCCTCGTTTGTTAACTATACATTTTAGCCAAAAAGTCAAAAAGTTACTATAAGTTGTCACATCACTCTCTCTACTTTTCTGTACATATTTTCATAAAAAAAAATCAAAAAGTTACTAAAATAGCATGTTCCATAGGAGACCTAAGTAAAAACAATACTAAATATGCCTTCAATATTTTAATTTTTTTGCTGGATTAAATAAATTAAACATCAATAAAAATTTATGTTATTTTTAAAATAAAATTTAAAATAAATTTATTTTAAAAAAATAATTTTTAATAATGAAATTAAATAAAAAATTAAATAAAATATCAACAAAAATTTAAAATAAAACTTCTATACAAATTTATTTAAAAAGTTAAATAAATAAATATTAATAAAAAATAAATTAAATTAAATTATTTTATTTTTTAATTGAGATTTTTTTTATTTTATTTTAATAAATACAATACATAGTGAAATCAAATACTTGGGGGGTATAAATATGTCATTTTACAACTTAATCCCACATTCCTTAGGACGCAATAGTCCAACATATTTGGAATTCATAATCTAATGAATTTCCTAATCCGACATACAAATTCCCAATCAAACAATAAATTCCATAGTGGATTAGACATGAAGTCAAATCCTCTCTCCAATCCTTCCAAACAAACATTTCCTAAGAAAATAAAGATATCACTTCTCTATCATGACTCAACAGGAAAAAGGAAAACGTAGTTCTCAATTATAACCAAGAAGGGATACTATTAACAACATATCAAGCAGAAGTAAGAAAAAAACATAACACAATTACATAATAATACTAATAATATAAAAACAACTTTTGTCAAATGGCCAACGATAGAGGCTTATTCAGAAAAAAAAAAAATACAAACTTTTTGTTAAACAAACAGGGGGCCCATGATAGGCTTATTCTTTCAAGAAAATACAACAAACCGAGGGCCAAGGATGGATACGCTATATATTTTTTATTTTTACTCTGCCAGGTGCTCATGGTTGGCCCTTTCTTCTGAAGGGATTTTGCTTGTCTATGTCTTCCATAATATCTTTGATCATTTTGTACTGTTGTGATGCAATCGCTTGGTATTTTATATTGTACAATAACGGTACTTGTTTATTATTTCCACCGTCATAATCTCCTTCACCATTGTGAATAGTAATTGGGTGCAATGAAGGTACTTGCTTACTACTTCCACTGCCAAATTCTCCTTCACCATTGCGAACACCGATTGGGCGCCATGAAAGTACTTGCTTGCCACTTCCACTGCCAAATTCTCCTTCGCCATTGCGAATACCGATTGGGCGCCATGAAAGTACTTGGTTACTACTTCCACTGCCATATTCTCCTTCACCATTGCGAATACTGATTGGGCGCCATGAAGGTACTTGCTTACTACTTCCACTGCCATATTCTTTTTTAGCATTGCGAATACTAATTGGGCGCAATGAAGGTACTTGATTACCACTTCCACTGCCATATTCTCCTTCACCATTGCGAATACTAATTGGGTGCCATGAAGGTACTTGTTTACTACTTCCACTGCCATATTCTTCTTCACCATTGCGAATACTGATTGGGCGCTATGAAGGTACTTGTTTACTACTTCCACTGCCATATTCTTCTTCCACTGCCATATTCTCCTTCACTATTGTGAATACTGATTGGGCGCAAACAATATATTTGCTTATTACTTACACTACATTCTTCTCCTCCATCATTGCGAATACTGATTGATTTACTGATTGATTTTAGGCGCAATGAAGATACTTGCTTATTGCTTCCACTGCCTTCTTCTCCTCCACCATTGCGAATACTGATTGATTTACTGATTGATTTTAGGTGCAATAATGAAGATACTTGCCTACTATTTCCACTACCTTCTTCTCCTCCACCATTGCAAAATTTGGTTGATTTACTAATTGCTTTTAGGTGCAATGAAGATACTTGCCTACTACTTTCACTGCCTTATTCTCCTCCACCATTGTGAATACTGATTGATTTACTGATTGCTTTTAGGCACAATGAAGGTACTTGCTGGACAAGAGGAACGAACCTTACGGTTTTGTTGTCTCGAATATTCAAGTTATGTGAAGCCATAGGCCTTGTTGAACTTCAGATTCTGAACTATCTGTCAACGTAATCCCTGATTTTTTCTCCATTGCTTTGTTATGAAATAATAATCTTGTCCTTCAACTGCTAAGTAACGCACCAAAATATTATTATCACGGTTAAAAGAATATAATAAGAAAACTGATAATAAACCCAACCTAAGGAATATATAAGGCAATAAATTCAAAAGATATTTTTAATGGTGAGAGATCCAACTTTTATGAAATAATTTGATAAAAAAGAAATTTTGTTTTCAATTTTACTCCTTAATTTATCTGTTATCTTTTTGTTGACTATCTATTTAAATTTATATCTATCTATTCAAGTTTTCTGTCTATCTGTTCAAACTTTTCCCCTAATCTGTTCAAATATCTATCCATATTTTATTATCTGTTCAATTTTTTACTTATCTGTTTAAATCTATCTGATCAAATATTTTATTCGTTAAAAACTTTATTTTCATCATCCTCAAAACAACAATCTGTTTCATCATCATCAACAACAACAACAACTACCACTACCAAAAAAAAAAAAAAGGATTTGAAGAGTAAGAAATACACCAAGCCATTATTACACATCTGTTCAAATTTTGAATAGATCTGTTCAACAACTCAACTTATTCGTCAACCTTGATGGCAACAATGGCACCACAGATTCATCTTCTTTTTTTTTTGTTTTTTTTTTATTTGCTGCAATAAGTTTCTCAACAATAACAACAAAAGAAAAATAAAAAATCCAGAGACACATGAGCCACTATTATAGATCTGTATTCGATTGGTTCAGAAAAGAAAAGAAATACACTAAGGTTGGGGTGTGCATTCAGACTTAGAAGGTGGGCCCACTCCATCGCCCAACCTCTGTTGATACTTCGATGAGTCACACATCAACTCATCACCATTGGTCTTGTCTGAACACAACCATGACTCCATTAAGAATAACATTGGATTCAAATTTCCCAAGTTTCAAACCCTAACACAAGGTTGGGGAGTTTAGGTTCAGAAAAGAAAAGAAATACACCAAGGTTGCCACTACAACACTTGTCGTCTCCTTCCTTAGATCCACAACCATAGATCTACTTTACAAAGGAAAAAAAACCACAGTGCCGCTGCTTTTCCCCAATCAGACTCAATTTGGAGGCGCCGTCGTTGTCAACTCTGGTCATCTCCGTCTCTTCGGCAGCGCCGCCGCCATCGTCTTCGTCTTTTCTCTGTGTGTGTGTGTGTGTGTGAGAGAGAGAGAAGACGAAGTACGACAACCAGTTCTGCCTCGTTGTCTCTTTTACCAAATTTGAACAGTGGCGCAGGTGGGGATCCCAACGAGGATGATAAAGATAATGAAAATGAAGATGGAGGATGGTGTGGTGTCGACGACATTCGCTAGATTGGCGAAGGAGATCTGCTGCAACGGTGATGCAAGCAAGCCTTCGGCGATATGTTGATTCGATCGACGGTGGTTGTTTGAGTGGTGGTGAAAAACGTGGTGGTGACGGCGATGAGTGGAGGAGGTGACAGAGCAGAGGGACTGGGAAACGAGTTGGGATCCCCTCTTTGCAATCCTCCTTGCAACGGTTGAGATCAGCCATTTCAACATCCAACGGCTGATTTCAATTTCTTTATTTTCTTTTTTTTTATTTTTTATTTTTTATGGCTGTTGGATGTTATAACGGTTGATCTCAGCCGTTGCAAGGAGGATTGTAAGGATGAGTTGCAAGGAGGGGATTCGGACTCCTGGGAAACGGTGTGTGTGTGTGAAAGAGAGAGACGAGGGAGAGAGAGAATGAAAGTTTTGTTAGGGTTTTGTTTGAGAAAAATAATAATATATAGAATAATGTAATATGTACCAATTGATGTACTAATTAGTGTCTAATTGATGATTTGACATAATTTAAGAGGTTTTTAGAATTTATAATGTGATTAATGAGTGGGGTCAATTATAATGTTATAACTAGTGTTAGTACACTAATTAGTATATTAATTGATACATGTAGTACCGCCGTAATATATATACATGCGTATCGTGGTCATTTTGTAAGTGTATATGAACATAATGTTTTAACATCTAGATCTTTGGAAAAAAAATAAAAAATTTAAATGAATTTATCTCCCGAGCGTCATTTACCCTATGTTTGGTAACCATTCCATTTTTAGTTTTCAATTTATATTTACAAAAATTTTAAAAACTATCATAAAAACTTGTTTGATAATTTTTTTAATTTATAAATGGTTGTCTCAATTTATAAATTTGAGGAAAAAACGTAAACTCAAAAAATGAGTTTACGTTTTCAATTTTCAATTTTTTTTTTCAAATAATTTTTTTTTCAAGCAATTTTTTTTCTCAATTAAGTTTTTTTTCAATTATTTTTTTAATTAATTTTTTTTCAATTATAATGTGTGTGATCCCATTGTCATAAATAATAAAAATAAATATAAATATTTTAGGTCTGAACAAACATATTTTTTAGTTTATATTTTTTAAAAATTTTAAACATTTTGTTCAAGACAAACACATTTATAATTTTATATTTTTCTAAAAATAAACAAAAACCAGCTTATAAATTTTTTGTAAACATAAACAAAAAACGTAAATGTTACCAAACGCTACCTTAATAATCACTTTGAAAAAAGAACACACAAGCCTCATGAGTTTACCATACAATTTTAATTCAATTTCGAAAGAAAAAAGAAAAAAAAAATTGTGAATGAAATAGGACAAATTATATCAAAGGAGCTTTTTTTGGATAAGTCCTCATTCTAAGAGTTTTATTCCATCAAACTCATGTTCTTTTTGACTATTCCATTAGGTCCTATTTGAGGTAAGAAGACCAAAACACCCTCAATTTCTCCTACCCCCTAAATGTTTTCACTCCAAAAAAATGCATTAACGACACACCACTATTTAATGTTGGCATATATTACACAAGAAAAATTAAACATGATTTTTTTATTGATTGTTATTATGTTTTGGTAGTTCCCATGCATCCAAATATTAACTGTACGTGATGTCGTAAATGTTCACATTAGATAACGTGAATGTAAATCTTCACATTAGATGACGTGAATGTGAATGTTCACATCAGATGACGTGAATATAAATATTCACATCAGATGACGTGAATGTATGTGAATGTTCACATCAGATGACGTGTGATAAAGGTGATGTTAAGGTTCATATCAGTATTGCATCAAATTAAATAACCACAAGCCTTAACTTTCATTTGAATATAAACATGATTGTACGTGATGGCGTGAATGTTCACGTTAGATGGCGTGAATGTTCACATTAGATGACGTGAATGTGAATGTTCACATTAGATGACGTGAATGTAAATGTTCACATCAAATAACATTGTGATGAAGGTGATGTTAAGGTTCACATCAGATAAGAGAGAATGTTCACATTATTTTTAATATGTTGTCAATTAAAAATATATTCAAATCAGATAAGAGAATGTTTACATTATTTTTAATGTGTTGTCAATGAAAAATATATTCACATTATATAATAATATAAAATAATAACATCAATGTTATTTAATTTGTGTATGAAATTTCCTATGCCTTGATCCTTTTCCTTCTCTCTCCTCTCCAAACATTAAATATCAATATTAAATATAAGGGCATAAGAGTCTAAGAAAATAGTGTAAATCAAGAAAAATGACTTTATGGAATAAAACTATAAATGCATAGGACTAAGTGGGTTAAAAAATTCCTTCATTGACTTCTTGGGTTAGAACACTTCTATATGAGATTTATCAATAAAAATCCCTTATATCAATAGTCTTGCATTTTGTTTTTGTGTCATTTTAGTTTTTATCATTTTAATTAGTTTAATTTTGACCTTTAATTTGGTCTAATTGATAATGTTAAGATGTTTGAAAGAAATTGATTAGGAGAGCTTAACTTACTAAGTTGAACATATTTATAATTTTATTTATGAAAACATGACATATGTAGTCAAAACAAAATTACAAATTCATGATTAAAACTGAAATAATTGATATTATAAGATATCACATAAAAAAAAAACCCAAAAAGCATTATTAATTGCGTAAAAATAATGAAAGTCAGGGCCTAACCTTGGGTCTATAATCGCCCTTAGAGCACTTGTAAGTCCTTATTCTTTCCTCGGATTCAAAGTGTTTGGATATCTGCTAATTCTTGGTCAACGCTGCAACCACAGGGTTCTAGGGTTCAGAAAAATTCACAAGCCCGGGAAGAGAGACAAGAATGAGAGTGTATATGATATCATATTTGCAAATAGTGGAAGATTATAGACATATTTATAGATTTACCAGAAGGCTACGTATACGCGTCTCTGTAGAATAAAAAATTGAAAAGAAGATGAAAAATAAATTGAGAGGGAGATTTATGAGCTGGAATGGGCCATCGTAAAGGTCGAGCAAATTGAGGGCCAAGCGCGTTTGGGCCGTGATAGCTTGGGCCTGTCCGGAGATGGTTTTGCTCGGTTGAGGCCCAGGGCCATGTTGGGACCGAGCTACTTGGGCTTGTCCATGTGGGGACCGAGCTACTTGAGCTACTCGGCCGAGATGATCCGTGCCATTCGGGATTCCACGATTCGCGCATTTAGCTCGGCAAGAAGGGCTTCGGTTTACCAGCTCGACCTATCTTGAGCTCGGTTAAGCCGGAATGCAACCGAGCATGGTCGTTATGGAGCTCGACGAGTGGAGTACTCGGACTCGTTATCCAACACGGTTGTGTGAGGCCGAGGTGATACCGCCGGGTTGCCGAGCTCCCACTAATGTAGTCTACCGGTTTGGTTAGGTGGTGATTGCGGGATTTGTGCTGACAGATAAGAGAGCAGCTCTAAGTATTAAGAGGCTAATGGGAGCAGATTTGAGCACAGAAAGTATATAAGCATGACTGCACCCCCCATGCTGTGCATGGAACATCATTTGGTGAGATAGACTTACATTCATTGAGTTTCTCTCTCTCTCTCTTTGAGTGTGTGCTCTCTGAGTGTGTGCTAACTTGACCGTCGGAGGAGTTTCCGACAACACACCGCCGGGTAGCTCACCGCCGTTGTGCTTTTAGGTTGATCGGATAGACACGGAGCTTGGACGAAAG